ATAAAGAAGAGAGAGATCGAAAGTAAGAAGATTTTTCACGACGATAGAGAGAAAGAACAAGATTTCTTGCTTTACGGAACTCAGCAAGGTTAAGAGAAGTGTAACGACGTTTAAGTTTACGAAAACGATGATTACGGATAGAGATAAGATGTGCAAACGTTGGAGAAGGCGAGAGAACAGATGATAGAGTACGAACTGGCACCAGTGGAACGAATCTACGGATGGCATCGTTTACGTGCTCAGTCCAAATGTGGACGGCCGTATCAACATCGGTAGCCGTATAAAGGCCATGAAGTATAAGAGAGAGAAAACGCCGTAGTTCAGGCCACTGTGCTTTTTTAAAGTCATACCGATAAGAAGTAGAAGGAAAAAGATATTGGACAGGTACATCAAAAGTAGCAGATAAACAAAAATGAGGAGAACAGCCAACAGGGGGCAAAGAGGAGAAAGAAACATTGTTCCAAGAAGAAGGATAAAAGATATAGTCAATACACGTATTTGAAGTAGTAGTGGCAGAAAAATCAACAAGAGAACACAGAAAAGAACTAGAGAGACTTTGAACATTGTACATTTCGGAAGACACATGGAAGTTAAGATTAAGATCAGCACGCAACAGAAGGTTAGGAGAGACAGACGAATAGTTAGAAACAAAAGTGTAACGAACATCGAGAAAGAAATCAACAGGAACAGATTACGAACGGTAACAGTTGCATAAAAGAAAGTCAGCAGGAGACTGTACATGTAATATAAAAGCTTCAATAACATCAGAAGAAGCGAGTGTAGAAAATTGTAAAGTCAGTCCCCAGATTCCGAGGAAATTCAATACCATGCCTGAACGACGAGAAATCAAGAACTTATTTGACTCCCATTTTGAAGACGACACTCAGCGCGATCTATTCATGAAAAAAACAACAATACAGTAGTACTATTAAAAGCTTTTAAGACATTGCCTAGTTTTCCAAAGATCATAGGAAAAACTCTTGCTCTTTTTTTATCTAAATCTGTCTGATTATGAACGAATGACTAACTGACGAGAGAAAAAATTGTTGAGAATCAAAAATTTTTATACTTGAAAACAATAAAATTTGATGAAATTTATTTATGCGCTGGCCAGAGAACACTCGAGATTATCGACCCATATAGAAGAATAAACATGCCGAATTTTGTTTGGCTATTCCGTCTTTAAAACATCATTTTCAGAAAAGTTTTTAAGTCAAAATGCTCTACGCTTAACAATAGCAAAAATTCTATCTCTGGTCTATCGATTATGATTCAAAAATAGTCATGATCATCATTTCATTCAACAGATAATTGACCTATTTTTTCCTTATTAAATGTTTTTAAAAGATATAACGTCAAGCTAGAGTTGATATAAAAGAAAGATTTATTAGTTAACTCACTATTGAAAGTAGATTCTGAGTGAATAGTATAGAGCCAAAAATTGGACGTATTATTAGAAGCACAACGAGTAGACGAGAATCAATGATCAATTCTTATAAAAATAAATAACAGAATATAAAAATAAATTTTTGATAGCTAAAAAGAGCTATTGTCTATAGCTGCTAATAATCTTAAAATGGTTTGGACAACGGCGGAGAAACATTGGTAGGCCACTAGTCTCACTTTCAAAGCAAAGAAAGCTTGTCTAAAACGAATGACTGCTGAGAAATCAACGATATTACAAGACGAACACTTCTTGAGACAATATATGATAAAACTAAATAATGTAAACGTGCTAGATGAGCTTAAAAATCTACTGACGAATGACCTTAATTTAACACCAAAACAAAGAAATATATGTCTTCTAACACTCAAGCTAGATTGCTAGAGAAATTGAAACTAATCGAGTCAAGTTCTATGAAAAAATATAGAATTTCAAACGCAAAATGTGAAAAAATATTCATAAGCGTAATAGTTTTATGATGTAGCTGATGCAAGTGCTGTTTTAAGATTCGCTGTTCAAAACTAAAAAAATTTATCTTCGAAGTTTTTTGCACTATCAACAAGGTAAAAAGTATTTTCTTTATTTGATTGTTATTCAACAGTAGAAAAAAACAGCAAAGAGCGAAAAATGAAGTGTCATCATCTTTTTTTTCGATCTGCTTCACAATTAGAAAAATAAAACACTACTTCATACAGCACAGACACATAAGAAGAAAAACTGGTTGCACCATAGATTTGATCATAATGTACAAAAAGAGACACAAGTGAAACAAGAAAAAAAAATCATTATTATTGCCACATTGACATCTGATTATAAAAGATTACATATAAAAAGGACCTGACAATTTTGATTCGCTTTTTTTTTTGTGAAAAAATAAATCCAAAAGAAATGTAATGTATTATCTGTTGTTAATCTGCCATCATTGATATGACATTTACGTCGCTACCACTAACAATAGGATTAATAGCTTCGTTATTATTATTATTATCATCATCATCTGATATGTGCTTAATCATTTCTCGTGCTCTATCAATTCTTTTATCATGCTCAGCTAATTTTTCTAATAGCTTTTCTAATTGTTCTTGACGGTTATTTTCTGCTGCTTCTAATTTCTGATTGATTTTTTCTTGCAATAATTTTCGTTCATCTTCTAATTTTTCCAAATTTTTTTGACATTGTTGAAAACGTTGTTCTTCATATTCTTTCACTTGTTGAATTTTTGATTGCAAAACATTTTCACGATTTTCTTTATACGTTTCTAGTTTTTTTAATAATTTTTCTTCCGTCGTCTTTTTGAATTCTAGAGGACAAATTAACAATAATGATTAATGAATAGTTGAAAAAGAAATAATTTCTCAATTTACCTTCTAGACGTTGATCTTTAATTTTGAGTACTTCATTTAGTTTACTGTTTTCTGACGCTAGCAGATTCGATCGTAATTTTTCTAATGATAAACGACGTTCTTCAGCACGTTTTAATTTTTCACTAATACTTTCCGGTGTTATTGTTTCTTTTGTTACATTGTCATCCGAAGCACTGTTATTACTATGTGTATTAGCACGAATACTGGGCGATAAAAATCGTAACGGTTGAGTGGCATTCTGTCTAGGTGATTCTTCAAGTAATACTTCAAATGCTACACCACCTGACGATTCATTTAAGGGCGTTGTTGACCCAGCCGCAATACCAACTGAATTTATTACACCACGTTTCGGAGCTAAAAGAGAAGAGAAAACCATGAGAGAAATGTGCTCAAAATTCCCGTTTGTTATCGTAAAGACAGTAACTCCCGTGTTATACAAAAAGACTAATTTACAGTATAATAGACTGTCTCATAGGAAACTGATGCTAAAAAAGGTAAAAGCTCCTGACATGTAGAGGTGGCACCTTGCTTGTAACTAATATCGTTACTTCTGTACTTTCGAAGTAACAGTTACGGCTTCAGATAATAACGAAGTAATGAAAGTGAAGTAACGAAATTAGTTACTCGTAACGAAGTAACAGGAAATGCAGTGACTAAACATTTTCATCACCCTCTCCTACAAACAAAAGTCATTATACACTAGCTGAAGCATAATAGCTAGCTAACAATCGACGAATTCAACTTACTCTCCATTGTATTCTTGAAGTAAATTCAATCAGGTTATAGCACCAGTGATTAGCAAACAAATAATAGAACAAAAACTAGATCTAAAGCATAAAAGCGAACAATAAGAGTTTATATCAGGGCATAAGAAATCTTTACGATACATAAGAAAAAACACAAGACTATATAAGCCCTTTCACTTCACCTGGCTGTGTATCATATCACTCAGTCCACAATTTATTTCCTCGTGATGAGTCAGTCAATGATCTGCTGAACTATGTCTATAGACAAACTCCCATATTAATGTCAATGCATATATATTACTTACTGCGCAATGAATGAAAAACAAGGTGTTTATTAATAATTATTAGATTAGTTAGTTTGAATAGAGATAAATTTCTATCTATACTTAGAGATAAACGAACAAAGAAAGAAAGCATGCCCACCATTTTATCTTTGTTTGAATAATGTAGCCAATAGAGTTCGAATCCTCCTCTCTCTATATTTTAGTTAAATTTCAGATTTTAAAACGATAGACATTTTACGAATTTCTGAGACCTTTAGTGATTAAAGAATTAAAGTTGAAGTTAGCAACATACTTATGCAAAATATGTGATGCATCAACCATATGCTTTGAAAATTGTCGTAGATACCTCTTTAAAAACGTAATTTATTCAACGAAGTGTCCTAAAAGCATTTTTCATGCTCCTGTTACTATTCACTTTATCGTTTGTATACAGAGCGAATATTCCGAACTTTTATTCAATTATACCACACGACTTATCTGCGAAAAATTGTTGAGCGGATAAACAAAACATGGCAAATCGTTATTCTCGAAATCTTAGTGCGTCATTGTATATTCGCAATGTAAGCGAACGAGCTCGGTAAGTTTGTTTGATTGTGTTTTTTGTAAATTTTCTTGCGTGTTTTTGATATAATGATGAAAAATGTTGAAAATTCTGTAATAGTAGAAACTACCAGTCTTTGAGCGAGAATACTTTAGTAAATTCTATTTTTCTTTGACACTTATTGTTTGTAAGATCAGATTGTGTTCGAAAGTTTTCTAGTCAGAGTACTAGCCATCTGATATCGTCTGCTTTGATAAAGAGAATCTTTTAAGAATATTCAAAAAACCAGAGCTACTTATAGTTCATATTGCATTCGTTTTGTTTTTATGTGGATAGATGTTAAAATAACGAGCCTTATCGAATTAAACAATTTCTAGAGTTCAGATGAGAATGTAACAGTTTCTAAATTAGAACTTTGTTTTTAAGAATAAGCTCAAAGCTTTGCATGATATATGTGTGTATATATAAATCTACTTTTAATTCAATGGTTACTCTCTTTATTTTTATTAGTGTACGCAATAAAAAAAGTTCAGTTTGCTCAGCCTGTGTTTCTTGTTTTCAAGCAATATGTGTAGAATATTTACAATATACGACAAAAAAAATACAACATCGCTCATAAATAATATCAGGCAATATCCTATCTCTGTACCAAATTTCAAGGAACAAGCAAATGCTCTTGCAAAAACGTATTTTTCAAGTTAGCGAGACATCGCGTAAACACAATGTTAATACCCAATCGAGAGTAAAAATAAATCATACACGAGTTTTTCTTAGAGAACTGTATATAAGGTTTCAAAAGTTGTTCTTTCAATCTACGCACAACAAGACTCAATACAACTTGTCTTAAGCAGCAAAAACAATGAGAAGTACCAATGTACCAAAACCATACAATTTTGTTTTTGCGTGCCATTATTGTTCGATTGTGATCAAAACAAGACGTATGCATTACGGCTTTTGTTTTGTTGTGTTTGTTTTTCTCTATTTAGATGAGACCACTTTTTTCGTTTGATTTTTTTCATTTGTGTTCATATTTGAACAGTGTTAATTCAATATACTGCTTCTACTGTTTAGATATGAAGATTTAAAACGTTTATTTTCACGCTATGGAAAAATCGTTGATATTACAGTCCCACTCGATTATTATACAAGAGATTCAAAAGGTGAGTAATGAGTCACTTATTTTTCTAGTTCATATGTTCATGTTTTTTTGTTCATTTAAGGTTATGCGTTTGTTGAATTTGAAGAAGCTCGTGATGCTGAAGAAGCACTTTATGCACTGGATCATTATCGTTTACTTGGACGCGAATTAGAAGTCGAGTTTGCTCGTGGAGATCGAAAAAGTACGTTGAAAAGTAGAGATAGCTTTTTTTTGAACTAATAAAATATTTTGTTTTGTTTTTCCAGCTCCATCAGAAATGAGATCAAGAGAAAAAGAATCGCGATATAATGGATCGAATGGGCGAGGTGGAGCATTTCGACGAGATTATGATCGAGGGAAAGAGAGACATACGTCAAGATCGAGAAGTCGCAGGTAATAAATTCAACAATCGAATATTAAATAATCGTTTTTCTTCTTTATTTTAATAATCTTATATATTTTCTTTTCTAGCCGTGATCGTCGAGTAAAAAGTTACTCACGCGAACGTTCATTAGGAAACAAAAAGCGTTCAAGCCGATCGGGTTCAAGAGGAAAAGAACGTTCAAGAACACCAAGAAGGTATTTTGTTATTTTTTCCTAATTTTCTTGTACACATAAGTTCGACAATGATGATGAAAATAGTTGCTACTCTTGATATACAACAATATGATGACATATACTCTACTACTAAGATCTCTGAGACGACTATTGTGTACAAAAACGAGATATCAGTTATGTTGGAAAATATTCACAGTTCTTGAAGTTACGTTATTTTCCGATTATTTTTAGACCATCAAGTCGCTCACATTCCAAATCGGCATCACCAGTTTTCAAAAGTCGTGGACGCCGTGTATCTCATTCAGCATCGCCAGCAGATGCTTAATTTGTTATTCTGATTTATATTACAAACTAACTACATCAAATTAAATAATGTGATTTCGTTTTTATTATTCTACTTCATTTGTTTGATTTTCATATTCTGTGAAAAACATATGTTATGTTTTGTAAACGTCGCTTTGTTATTTTTTAACAAGAACTTGGTCAAATTAATGAGCTCACTAGGGGATGGATTTTTTTATTAAGCTAAGACTTTGTTTTCATTTATTTTGTTTTTACAATGTAACTGCGTGTGCATGTGAGTTTTTCCTTGACCATTTATTTGCTCTCTTTGTTGTTTTTCGCAATAACAAATGATTGCTGTGTATATGTGTGTGTATTTGCTCTTGTAATAAAAGAAATATATACAGGAAAGATGGTTGCAAATGCTCAAAACAGTAAGAGTTACGTGCAGTTACTCAAGAGAGTCACTAATAAATCGTTCACCGTGTTAGTTTAATAATGAGTACTTTTTAGGGCTGTGACAGTTACCAGTTACCGTTACCATCGTTCCCCGTTACTAACGGTAACTATAATTGACATAAAACTAATAAGCATCGTTCCTCCTTAGTAGAGGTAATAGTAATTGATATACAGTAAGAAATCCTTTACCCTCCAGTAACGAGGAACGATGCTTATTAATTTTATATCGGTTACCGTTACCTCTAGTAACGGAGAACGCTGGTAACGGTAACTGGTAACTGTCACAGCCCTAGTACTTTTCCTATTATATGTATGATCGAAAATAGTTCATTGGTTTTGATTGGATTTATCTTTAATATGAGAAGTTGAGTTTTCAACTTTTATTTTTACATATTATTGTAAAATTGTATTTGATTGTGAAAAGACGCATGCACCTTCCTACACACATTTCCACTCGTTTCCGCAAAGAACACGTAACCCATTGTACATATTATTTCTTAACTGTTGTATTTGTATACTTAAAGGGTTCTTTTTTGAAGAGAATGAGTATAAAACTGCTACAAAGTACATGATAAGATTTTAACTAAATCCCTCACACATCATCATCAGGAAAATGAACATAAGAAGAAAAGATAACTAATTATATAGTCTGTAAATGTGAGTATAAGACAAAGAAATTAAAGGAACAGTTTTGCCAGTAGGAACAACGTGCCAGTAAAAGAATCTATTGAGATTGCACTAGATATGTTATATAAATCAAAGAAAATATCTGATAGAAGTATTGTAACAGCAGCTAGAAAATATACACAACTAATCTTTGGCTAGATAAAAGAAAAGAATCAAATAAATTTACTTTTGCAGAACAAACTGCAAAAGTAAACCCATTTCAAAATATTTTCCCTATCTCTAGAACAGCACCCAACTTAGTGGGATCGTTAATTTCTGATATACTCGTTGACCTAACCGAGGTAGTAAAAGCTCTAGCGGCTATGAAAGATACCGCTAGCGTTGGAGTTGATGGTTTCTCGCTGAAGTTTATACAGTTATGCCTACCAGTTCTCGGAAATCAATTAGTTAATGGGTTTACTTTTGCAGTTTGTTCTGCAAAAGTAAATTTATTTGATTCTTTTCTTTTATCCAGTCAGAGATTAGTTGTGTATATTTTCTAGCTGCTGTTACAATACTTCTAACATACTCAAAGATTAGCTCGTTTATCATAATTGCTTTCTCAAATAGCTGATATATACCCTTCAGTCGACAACAAATGAAAAGACTACTAGAATTAGCCGTTTGTAATGTACCATTTAGATTTATAAGTAAATATTACGTGTAATCTGATGGAATAGCAATGGGTTCACCACATGCACCAATACTTACAGACCTATTTATGTCAAAACTCGAAACTAAGTTAAACAGATTTTCTACCAATAAACCATTACTATGGCTTCGATACGCGGATGATATATTTCGCATATTCACAACAAAACAGAATATTAACCATTTTTTTCCTTTGTGTGTTTTTTTGTGAAGTAAACTTCACTGTATCGACATTTTCATCGATTTGAACACATATTCATATTCAATTCAGTCGATGACCTGCAGAGAGATGTCCTTTGATGGCCTCAGTGGTACTCTGGTATTTTTTCACCATACTAAACGGTGTTGGTTTAGTGAAAAGAGACGTCCTATATTTGTCTATTATTAGAAAAGTCCTATATAAATTCTTTTTTCAAATCCTATATTTTCCTATATTTTAAGGAAGGGCCGGTACGAACCCAGATGCTTATTTCCAATCGAAAATATTCTAAAGATTTGATCACAACAAAAGCAGAGATTGTACTTAATTTACTGACGAGAAGAATATTTCTAATAACTATAAAGGAACACTGTTAAAAGTCTGTAAAACTATTTTAGCCTCTTGATGCTACACATCAGCCTGATGCTGTTTTAACAGTGCTTTAGTGGTCTAAAAGGAAGGAAAACGGTTTCTACAAGAAAATGGCCCAATATGTTTTTGCGTGAAAGTGATCGGACATGCTTACTTTTTCACTTTCCAACACTTCTGATTTTTAAAAATTGCTCCTGATCTTGAAAAAAATATTTTTATCATTCTTCGTCACTAGTTCAACAAAAGTCATTCACTTTGTTCCCAGGTCAAAACCACTGTATTCGTTCGGTATTTTGCCACTAAGTTTATTAAACTTAAAAAATATTAAAGGTTTAAAACAACTTACTATAGCTTATTTTGTAACTCTTTTAATTCTGCATTTTTCTAAATACAAACTGTTCCTAATTTCTATTTGTGAAAGAAACTATAATCATTTTTATATGACACTATGTAAAAAGTGCCATAAATGTAAAAAAGTGCGTAAAAGCCGAAATATCTATCCAGCATTTTAGCCAATAAATCCATGCGGACATACTTTTAAAACAATATATTGTAGTTCCTTTTAAAGCCCAGAAAATTCTCTATCTTTCTATACATAAAACATTCCGGTTCTGAGCCGGTATATGGAAATGTTCTTTTAATGTCTTCGGGTAGATGAAAATGATGGTATCTGTCGAATATTTCAATGATTGTCTTATATGGGCATGTTTCTGAGAAGCTTATTTATGGCTCATTATGAAGCCTAGAAAATTCTTTCTATTTCTACGTATGGGCTTTGGTCAAGGTCTTTGAAATGGTACGAAAAATTTGAGGAGCAAAGTGAATGGTCTTCGTTGAACTGGTGATGAAAAATGGTTAAAATATTTTTATCAAGATCAGAAGTGTTGGATAGTGAAAAAGGAAGCGTTTTCGATCATTTTTGAGCCATTTTCTTACAGAAACCTTTTCCCGTTCTTTTTGACCACTAAGAGAAATAACGTACTTTTCATATATTCGTACATATTAAAGGTGAACTGTGTGTTATCGTGTACGAACGAGAAGCATATCACAAATATATCGTGCAATGCACTATTTACTTAGAAGTTGCAAATTCACCTTTTTGTCTGTACTCACTCCATCCACCTTTTTTATCTTCAAGCACTTGAAGGATAATATAAAACGAATTATAACCCTTAGACAATTATTGATCTATTTTGCCATAAATATACTTCTACTTAAAGCTTGCTGGTGAAACAAATTAGTTATAATTAGTATCTACTATAAAATAATAGGTATAGTATTCATCTGTTAACTCAAGATTTCTGTCCTTCTTCAACAATAATGTAAGTTACCCTGTAAAAAATACTTCAGTGCGCATTGCTACTAGAAAGTATGTCAGAGCTTTGCATTCGCACTGATGCCTGGGCACGACTAGTGCTGATAAGAATTATTTTTGCTGCCGTTCTCTGTACGTATTTTATGCCGCCGTGTTCTCTGTGATAACTTATTTCACATCATCAAATTATTTATTAAATAACTTACCACTGTATATTGGAGAAGAATGACCTTTATTTCTATCAACTTGTTATTCTAAAGGAGGAGATGCAATAAGAACGAGAATCCGTCTTATTCCAAATTTTCTCGAAAAGTATCCAGAATGAAAGAGCGTGTGATTTTATGGTGTTCTGGACATCTGGTTTCCCTTCGAGGTCGATTTCTGTAAGAAAATCTATTAGCTTTGAAAAATATCTCCTCAAACTCATTGCGATGTGTTTTTGGTACTTTTCTCAGAATAAAATAAGTTTGAAGGAAAGTTTTACTTTAGCATTCGATGCAGTTTTATACGATAAATAAAACTATCTATTGCTCAATTGTCATGTACACTGCGAATACCGACTTTCTTGAATATTACTGTTGAAACATGACCTTTCCAATATAGTCAGTGTTAATATTTCTATTCTTTTTACAATGAAAGGACTTAGGTTGCAGTCTATATTATGTATCAGAACAAAGCTCTTTCAAAACTCTACAAAACAGTTGGTAACTTATTTCTAGTTCAAAGTGCGAACACTTACTTTTTGGGATATTACTGCTGAAGAGTGATGTTTTCAAGCATACTGAACGCGTATAGAAAGAGCATTTTTTTGTGTCAAAATGAAAAGGAATGCGAAAAGAAAAATACGAGATTTGAGACTATGTAAAGTTTAGTTGAGTTGGTATCTAACATCATCATTATCGTCGTCGGTTGAGTCGTGATAATCTGATTTCACCATGCTATCATCCACTTTTGATATGTAGGCTGGTGATAGTTGATCGTGATGATGCACTTGGAGACGTTCGTATTCCAAATACCAAATGGATGAAACAACGTGCTACTCTACATTGACAATACCATGCTTTG